GAGCAATTGAGTGGCCACCTGGTGATTAGCCAGCGATTACCTTCATGCTAAGTCATGATAACCTGGTGAGCGGTAAACGATCGATTTATTGGCAACTTTTCTTCACCCTGGTCCATCTTTTGACAACTTTAACTCCTTGATGTCTTGTACTTCTTTATGACTTCTCTAAACTAAACAACCAACTCCAATATACCTTCAAAACTAGAATTCGGTTCACATCGTAATTCTAACAAATGAGACAAAAGAAATGATAAAGACCAAGGTCTAAAGGAAAATCCTTAGTAGTTGACAAGGCGATTGTTGTTACATTTCTTTAGACTTATTGATTGCTCATGTTGAGGACAATGCATACTTCAAGTATGGGGTGTAGTCATTATTTTTATTGTGTTAGTTTGTATGATGTTATTTGTTTTTCCAGATAATGGAAAAAAGCACTCATTAATCGAATTCTTTGAATTCTCTTGATTAAGGTTATCTTGATTCACATAGAGACATAGTGGCTTGACTTAATTAAGCAGCATTGATCTGAACTCGTGAGACATAAATCAATTAATTTAGAAGAATTTGACCAGGTACGCATAATTAATTATTGTTGAAATTTGGCGATTGAAATTAAGGGGATGACTACAGAGAAATATACAATCGTAACACTTTTTGTACATCAAGTAGACCCTAAATTGTCACAATTTTTTATTATTTAATCAAGCGGTCCTCATGGAAATGATAATCCACACATTTAGCTCTACTTTATTATTTGTTTAACTGATATTGTAAACTTGCGATAAAATCAAAACACAACACCTACCTGCTCAAGAAGATCATCCTTAGGAGAACTAAGAAGGCTCAATCAGGATGTTGATGGTGTCAGATGAATAATTTGAAATACTTGTTATAGCCAATGCTGCCTGATGCTATAAAAATGAATAAATCGATCTATTTAGCAATTGAAACACATGAAATAAACTAGAAGAAGCAATTAGCAGCACAAATTTAAACCTGATGCTACGGGTTATCATCTCTATGAAGAAACTCAAAGAGTCGAAGAACAGTTCGAGATGCTAGTTCCTTAGTCCAGGAGATTTTATCCGTGGAAACAAAATAATTGAAAGCAAATGGATAAGAGAACAATAGCGTAAATAGTATTAATTTGCTTCAATAAGGGTAGATTAATTGATTACCAACCACTACTAAAAAACATAGCTTCAGGCACGAATTTTCTGTTCCGAAAACCACGATATCCGTTGCTACTACTCTTGACCAACGGAATATTTATAACCACAAATCTGTTGCTAATTTGAAGGTTGCTGATAGTTACCAACGGCTTCTGTTGTAGGTAAAGAGTAAATATTTTACCAACGAATTTTTCGTTGGTAAAATGTGAATCTTTTACCAACGAATTTTCCATTGGTAAAAATTTTACCTAATACCAACCGACTTTCCATTGGTAAATGTCTACCATAACAATTGGTAAAAATCAATATTGTAAATAGCCACATAGGTGTGAGGCATGGTAAAAAAATAAAATAAATAAATAAATAAAAATAAAAAATAAAAAAATAGTATTTATTTTTTTATTATTGTTATTATTATTTGTTTAATAATTCTAATTTTTTTAACTTTTAGCCAACCAAATTGAAAGGCTAAAATATTGTTTAACCACTTATTGGACCACAAATTAATTTACAAAGGGCAACTCCGAAAACTTTGTTGTGAACTTTAGATGTGGGATAAGTGAATTACTTTTACCAACGAATAATCCGTTTCTAATTACCAACGGTATATCCGTAGGTGAAAGATCCAAATGTTAAATTATTACATGAGGCATGGAATATCCATTGGTAAAGAGATACCATTGTTACCAATGAAAAATTCGCTGCTAATTATCGTAGTTGAAAGTGAATAACCATTACCAATGAATAATCCATTTCTAATTACCAACGGATCCGTTGGTAATATCGGTACGTCACCTACGGATATTTCATATGTGAAAGATTCAAATGTTAAACGTTACATGAGGCACAAAATATCTGTTGGTAAAGAGATACTACCGTTACAAATGGAAAATCTGTTGTTGATTATCGTAGTTGAAAGTAAATAACTTTTACCAACGGATAATCCATTTCTAATTACCAATGGATTGCATCCGTTGGTAATTTTTCATATGTGAAAAGCTATTTTTTAGTAGTGAACTATAAGCATTTTGTGAAACAAAGCTATGGCCTCGAGTAGCTGTGTGTTTGTCATTTGACCCACATATTTTAGCCTCCATTTCCTTTCTCTGTTACAATTGGAAGAAATTAATAATGAAGTTTATATAACAGTTTCTATACACTAGTTCTACTCAATTAAATTTGTCCCACATATTTACTTACCCGCAAGAACTATTCCATTATGCAATAAATCACACTCCTTTTCTTTCAAATTTGGTTTCCAAAAGAAAATTCGCATCTTCTTTTTGTACTTCTGTAACTAAAGTAAATGTTGTCAAATTGTAGATATAAGCCACAGTGCAATTCATGCTTGCAGAAGGTAGCAATTGCTGAGTTATGAGGTCAGAGCAGAGACATCACCTTTCGATCCAAGAGTGAGGGAATATGCTAGGGAAGCTTCTGGATATATTTAGGAAGAATGTGAGTACAAATTTATATGGACTTTCTGGACGTTGGTATAATAATAAATTTATAAAATCTCCTTCAAGTAGTGAGTACAAAAGTGACCATGAGCAGGAGAGAGACTACATAGACGTATGATGAGGCGCATGAAGTATAATTCTTTAGCTTTCATATTGTATTATCGGTCTTCATATAAGATAGGTGTATTTTTCTGGTACCTTTAACTGTTGGTCCAACTGGACCTCCTAAATTTTACGTTTATTTTCTTTATTAGTAAAACATGCACACAAAAAAATAATAATAAATAAATAAATAAGAATTGTCATGCTTGTTAAAATTTCATTACAGAGACCTGTAAATTTTCTTGAGATAGAGAAATGTGAGATATATGCGGCAGTGAGTATGGCTCGAGGTATAATTTTTACCTTTAGACAGAATAACTAGAACTAGTGAAAGAAATGAACTTTAAGGCTATCATTTCCCCAGTTATCTCGTTCTTCTTGTATTTGCTTTGCCCAAGTCACAGCACAAGTGCTAGCATCATCCAAGTCAATAATTTGAAGCGTTGTTATATATCCAATACTACATGGGATCTCCTCTAATTTGAAACATTGCCTAAGAATTAGGCACTCAAGACTTGGGAAGGGTGTGTGATCAGCTGTCCATTGCACTAGATCTAATCTGTGAAGTAGCAGAAATTTTAGTTTGAAAAATTCTCCATCGGTTGGCTCCCATTTTGGCCCTTCAAAGGCATTATTATACAGTTTGAGCACTTCAAGATTGGGCATTTTACCAACTACAGTCATATGTTCCTAAGGAATTCTGCAATGGATTAAGGTTAATTTTTTGATATTTGGTGGGAAAGTGAAATTAATCAGGTCACTAACACGATCATATACACCTAAGGTTTTCAGGGTCTCAAATTCAGGAAGATTAACCAGTTTACCTAAAGAAAAGGGTGCGAATACCAAATATTGAATCAAAATTCCTAACTTGTTTAGATTTGGATCTCTTTTGAAGACCTTCTTGGTACAGTTTGAGCTACTCACTTTCGACAAAGTTAAAAAGTTTTCTAGAACTAAATCCTCCCTATCTATTGGCGATCTAGCAGGCACAGTATATAACATCTCCTGAACAGGAGATGCCTTAATTGTGGCATCCTCCATATTTCCTCCGGTAGATGTACTTTGTCACAATCTACAATTAAGGTCTGTAGATGCCAAAGAAAATCAGGTAGTATTTTAGGTATGGAAATTTTCCCCTCACAGGAAAAAGCGAGCTACCTTGAGTGAACTAATTTTATTTCTCCAATTGGGAAACCATCTACTTTTCCTTTAGCAAGATCCAACACTCTGAGTAGTGGAAAACGTTTTAGGTCACCGGATTCATAAATCTCTCCAGCCGAATGGGAACATAAAATTGAACGGACTGGTTGCAAGGATCCCATGGACGGTGTTGCAATAACATGAACTTTCAGCTCACTTTAAGCAATCACACCATATCCTACACATATAAAAGAGTGAAAGAATTGTCTGGACACGTGTCTCAAAATGTACCATCCTCCATTTTTTCCTATTTCCTTAACTGAAAACGATGTATATTGTGTTTGGCCCATTTTTGAGGCGTGAGGCATTCAGTACTATTTCTCTATTTTTTTCACTCAATCCACCATTCCTGCACTACTCTTCTCATTCATCTTCTTTCCCTCCCTTTCTTCCTTCCAAGAATCCAAAAAACTGAAATATCGAATTGGACTTGTAGGCCTAAATTTGTAAATTGAATGGGGGTTCATCGATTGGTTTTATGTAAGTTACACGATTACTTTTCTCCGTATGAGAATACGAATGACAAATATAGAATGAATTATCGATTACTTTCTTTTTATTTTCTTGTCTGAAATCAATTGAATTTGAAAAAATTAATTCAGTTGGATTTGAATACTTGGGTGGGCAGATAAGTGCATATATGTGGTCTTCGCAATGCGCGGGGTCTGTGTTGTGCAGAGATCATCTCCACACACTCTGTACAGCGCAAAGATTGTGTTTGCAATCTCTCTGGCAATTGTCATCTCCCTCTTCGGCGGTTCTAAGTAACATCTGTAGTGTAACGCCCCGAAATCTATGCTCCGGAGTTTACTCGATTAATCACTTTAACCATTATAAAAGTTGATTGACACATTGTAATATATAAAAATATTTGAGAAACATTGCGCAATAAACTAAACTATTTTATTGTCTTATAAAAATATATATTCAAACCACTGATGAACTATAAATTTAGCACTTATTTTTAAAAATTCAACATTTGATTTTTTGAATAAAAAGAAAAATAAAATAAAATTCTAATTTGAATAAAAAATGTCTTCTAACTAAATATTAAAAGAAAATCTTAAATTCTTGATCCAGCAACACAGTTTCTGTCAGCAGTCTTGACATCCAACTTCGATCCATCAAGCATCTATAAAAATAATTAAGAATATGGAATGAGCATATGAATATACTCAGTATAGATTTCGTGCTAGTATTTTCAAAATTTAATATAAAAAGCAAGTAAAATACACAATAACATAATTTTCTTAGTAGGATAGAAACCTAACCATCTCATTCTCACTTAGCTCATACCCATTCTCAATCTCCACTTAGAGTATTTAGCTCTGCGGCTGGTTTCCATGTGGATCTATATAATAATACCCTATGGTGCTTCCCACAATATCTTTCTTTACTTTGGAACATATATTAGCGCATGAAACACTTAACTTAAAACATTGAAAAGTGAAAACACAAAATCACTGGGGATTTAGAGAAATCCATACCTATTCGTTAAATTCCTTGTGTACTTAAACTATTTAGGATTGAAAATTCTTGCAAACGGATCTCAAACCAGCCAAAAACTTTCTTTTCTTTTCCTTCCTTTTTATTTTCTCTCTCTGTCCCGTTTTCGTTTTCCTTTCCTTCCTCTCTCTCCTCTTTTCTTTCTCTCTTTCTCTTTCTTGTCTCTCTCTTTCTTTCAGACATTTTTTCTTTCTTTTTGTCTCTCTAAATTGTGTGAATTAAAGTGCACAACATGGATATTTATAGGTATGATAATGATAATGATCTACTTAAGTTTTAATAGAATTAAAATTGGACTCTTAACAAACATCCTTATCAAATAAAATTCTAATTACATGATGATAAGATTCAAGTATAAATATATTAAAATTCTAAATTTATCTAAACACCTTTATATTAAATAATTCGATAATAATTTAATATATTCTCAAATATTAAATTCTAAATTTATTAAAACTCTTACTTTCAAGTATGATAAAATTTTTTAACTTATTTAAATACTTTATATCAAATAATTTAATTGACATCCAAAATAATACTAAAATTTAATTTCATACATTTTATGCCTCATAAAATATTTTACGATTTTTATTTTTTTTGGGTATTACATCCTCCCCTCCTTCCAAAAATTTCGTCCTCGAAATTTACCTTAATTATCGAAAAGTTGAGGGTATATAGCTTTAATATTTACCTTGTATTCCCAAGTAGACTCTTTCACTGCGTGATTTCGCCACTGAACGTTTACCAATGGAATATCTCTATTTCTAATTGTTCGAATCTTCCTATCCAAGATGACTATTGGAGTTTCCTCGTAAGTTAGATCTGGATGAATGTCTAACGATTTAGGATTAATCATGAGGTCAAGGTCTAATATGTATTTTTGAAGCATAGAGACATGAAAGACATTGTGTACTGCTGAAAGTTTGGGAGGCAATGCTAGCTCGTAAGCCACAATTCCCACACGGTTCAAAATCTCGAAAGGTCCTATGTATATTTGTTGGAGCTTTCCCCTATTGCCAAATCGAATAACTCCCTTCATAGGAGCTATTTTTAGGAAAACTTTATCACCAACCTAGAACTCAAGATCCTTCCTTCTATTATCTACATAACTTTTCTGTCGGTCTTGGGCAGTCTTTATTCTAGCACGAATCTATTCAATAGCTTGGACTGTTCGCTCAATAATCTCAGGCCCTAGAATTCTTCACTTAGCAACTTCATCCTAATGAGATGGAGATCTGCACTTTCTATCATATAAAGCCTCATAAGAAGGCATTTCTATGGTAGTTTGATAGCTATTATTATAGGCAAATTCTACTAATGGTAGATTTTTTTCTAATTCCTTCCAAGATCTAGGACACTTGCTCAAAGCATGTCCTCAAGAATTTGAATTATGCTTTCTGATTGACCATCTGACTGTGGGTGAAGAGTTGTACTGAGGTTTAGATTAGTCCCCATTACCTTGTCCATACTTTTCCAACATTTCATGGTGAATCTTGGATCTCTGCCTGACACAATTGACACTGAGGTCCCATGTAATTTGATCAGTTCTCTAACATATAGTTGAGCTAATTGATCTGTATTAAAAGTTATCTTTACTGGTAAGAAATGAGCTGACTTTGTCAATCTATCAATAATAATCCAAATCTCATCATTTCCTCTATTTGATTTTGGAAAACCAATTACAAAATTCATGGCAATATGCTCCCATTTCCATTCAGGAATCTCTAGTGGGTTTAATAATCCTGATGGTCTTTGATATTCTGCTTTCATTTGCTGGCAAACCATGCATTTCTCTACAAATAGACCTATTTCTCTTTTCATATTTTGCCACCGGAATGTTCTTTCAAGGTTTTCTACATCTTTGTTCCCCCGGGATATGCTGCATATGGGGCGAAGTGGGCTTTTTCTAATATTTCTTTTCGTATTTTCTCATCCTTCGGTACACACAATCTTCCTTTAAACATCAATGTGTTATCTTCAGCTTGCGCAAAACCTTTTCGTTTGCCAGTGCCAATTTCACCTTTAATCTTTTGTAGAAATGGATCGTTATCCTGAGCTTTCTTAATTCGGTCTCAAATAGTAGGTTGAACTATGAGAGTAGCAATTCGTGCTACAATATCTGCTGGAGATAAGATCACCTCAAGTTGTAAACGCTATATATCTTTGATTAATGATTTATCTATAGTGGGTAAAGCTGTCAAATGTCCTGCTGTCTTTTTGCTTAATACATCAGCAACTACATTGGCCTTCCTAGATGATAATGAATGGCACAATCATAATCTTTGACCAATTCTAGCCATCTGCGTTGCCTCATGTTCAATTCCTTTTGGGTGAAGAAGTACTTTAGGCTCATGTGGTCCGTATAAATATCACATTTAGCTCCATAGAGATAGTGTCGCCATATCTTTAGTGCATGAACTACTACCGCTAACTCCAGGTCATGTGTTAGATAGTTTTCCTCATAGGACTTTAGTTGTCTTGAAGCATATGCAATAACTTTACCATGCTGCATAAGTACAGATCCTAGACCCTCATCACTGTAGATAATGAAGCCTTCCAACCCTTTGGGCATGGTCAAAACTGGAGCTGAGACCAATTTATGTTTTAGGTCTTGAAAGCTCTATTCGCACCTATCCATCAATTAAAACTTCACATTTTTTCTTGTTAACTGAGTCATTGGGATGACAATCTTTGAAAACCCTTCAATAATTTGCCTTAACCTGCTAATCCCAAGAAGTTGCGTACTTCTCTAGCATTAGTTGGTCGAAGTCCATCGGTAATTGCTTCCACTTGAACTATTTAGGATTGAAAATTCTTGCAAACGGATCTTGAAGGCACTGAAAAATTTTCTTTTCTTTTCGTTCATTTTTCCTTTCATTTCATTCCTTTTTCCTTTCATTTCTATCTCCTCTTTTCTTCCTCTCTTTCTCTTTCTTTTTTCTCTTTCTTTCATCTTTTCTCTCTCTTTCTTTCACACATTTTTTCTTTCTTTCTGTCTTTCTAAATTGTGTGAATAAAAGTGCACAATATGGGTACCTATAATTTAGTTTCTTTTCATGTTTCTACAGAATCTATGCATTTCAATTTTAATCCTTCTTATATTTGGCTTCTTTAGGTGATCCCGTGTATGTTTGTGAATCTGAGGTATCTAGGAGTATTCATGAAGAAGCAGAAAGAGTAACCTATGCTTTCATTTTATTTTTGTATGTTGTTGTCACGCACTAAATTTATAAATTGCATATTTGTTTGTTAGGTATTGCTGTCTCACCCAAAGAAAATAGTTCAAATGTAGACATTTCACAACAAATTCCAACGCAGTGTTGTTTTTTTTTTACCTCTGCCAGCAGTTTGTGATTTCTGTGGAGCAAAGAAGTTTGAAAGAAAAAGTAAAGGTTTCTATTATTCTGGTGGAACCATTCAACTAAAAATGAATGATGTACCTCCAGAATTGTATGATTTATTTACTTTCCCTATCAGATGAATCAGTTGAATTTAGGACTTATATCCAAAATCACAATTGTAATCTTTCATTTACTTCATTTGATGTCATATATGAAAAAGACTTATGCCGAAGGAACAAATGAATATAAGCTTTTAGAATTCAGAGACAGATATATCATTATCTTAAATGTACTTCTTCCAATAGATTCTAAGTCTTCTTATTTACAACTTTATTTTTACGACACTGAAAATGAGATACAGAATCAATTAAACATATCAGATGAATTATCTGAATCAATTATTGAGAAATTAGTTCGGATCTTAGAGATTAATCCTTACGCAAAATTCTTTCAAAGTTTGACTAATACTCCTGATTTACAAAGTCGTCATATAAAAACTATATCCACTTTAAATATGAATCAAAGAGTTTATAATACTCCAATAACATCACAAATTGCTGCTATTTGGGTAGATGATGGACCATCAAAGAATGTTGGAACCCGTGATATATCTATTTATGCTCGTTTTGGTAGTAAACACAAAATAAATTATTATTTTGGATGTTATGACCCTCTACAGTACCCTATGCTATTTTCCAATGGTGAGCATGGTTGGCATCAGGGTATTTAAAGAGTTATTGAACGACATGATGATACTTCTTATATAGAACCGTTGATTGATGCACATTATGCTAATTCTCCACAATAATTCTTAAACAAATGAAATGATAGGTTTGAAAATGAGTTATTGCTTTATTTCAAGATTTTCAATTACTTTAATTTTTAGTCACGTTTAATTTCTTTAATGCATGTTCACTCCGATTTAATTTCTTTAATGCATGTTCAGTCTTGCAAAAGAAGCGAAAATGATGCCAAGTCTTGTGTCATGAGTATTATTGCTACAAAATATGGGTAAGGTCGTTATAGAACTCGATCTTGTTATATGTTGGTCGAATTTTCCAACAATATATAGTTGACATGTACATTAAAGTTGAATCTTCCAGATTAGATTACTTCTGTAACAACCAGACGGGAGTACATAGTGAGCTTTATCAAGGAATTGTTGATAGTGTACAAAATGATGAAACAAGATGGTCAAATGTAAGTAGGAGGATTATTTTACCATCTTCGTGTGTGTGTGTGTGTGTGTGTATAGTTCCAAAAAAGAGGTTTACCACATGCTCACTTTCTAATTATACTTAAATCACGTTCCAAGATTATTTCTCCTGAGAGTGTGAATAGAATCGTATTTGCTGAAATCCTTGATAGTGCAGAGTATCCTTATTAGCATTCTGCTGTGTTTAAACACATGATGCATGGTCCTTGTGGTTCCTTAAATCCAAATAATATGTGCATGCTGAATGGCGGAACATGTAGAAGTCATTATCCGTATAAGTGTACAATACACACTTTTTTGGACGAAACTTCTTATCCAAAATATAGAAAATGTAATGATGGCAAGAAAGTTAAAGCTAGAAAAAACTTCCTTGATAATAGGTCGGTTATACCTTATAATTCTTATCTTTTAGCTAAATATGTCTGTCATATTAATGTAGAAATATGTTCAACAATAAAAGTTGTTAAATATTTTTACAAATATGTTTACAAAGGACATGACAAAGTGAATCTCTCTATAAACAATGATATTGATTTTGATTGTATGGATGAAATTCAAAAATTTCAGTCTGGTAGATGGATTTCTCTCCCTGAAGCAAGGTGGAAGATCTATAGATTTACTATGTATGAAATGTATCCAGGTTTTATTTCATTATAGTTACATCTAGAAAATCAGTAGCTAATTAGATATAAAAATATTGATGATCTTCCTAGAGTTATCACACAACTTCTTTTTTTTTTTTTTCAAAAACCGATGTTAACTGATTTTTTTATAATAAATGCTACAAATGAAGAAGCAATAAAATTGTTATATGAAGAATTCCCCGAACATTTTGTGTGGGACAGACAACGTAAGTGCTGGACTATTAGAAAAAATAGGTACTATGATCAGAGGGATTCTATCAGTAAGTCCAGATGAATGTAGATACTACTTGATAATATTGTTAAATCATGTCGGGGATCGCTATCTTTTGAAGGTTTGAAATTCGTTAATGACATTTCTATAAAAACTTTTCGTGAAGCTGGATTATTACAAGATTTACTTAGAGGGAATAATAATTGTAAATTGTGCTTACATGAAGCTTGTACTTATTAAATGCCAAATTCATTACGTAACTTGTTTGCAACTATTTTAGTTCTCTATTGTCCTGATTTAATAAAAAATATATATGGAATCAATTTAAAGAATTTATGTTTGAAGATTATTTGCGAAAGAATGTGAGTTTACATGATGCAAAAGTAAAAAAGTTACAGTCTATAAATTCATTTTTAGAATCATTTAGCAAATCTTTAAATGATTAAGGGTTAGCTCTTTATGATATTAATGTCCAACAAGAGGAAATATTGGAAAGAATGGTTAATGAAGAATTGGGAATATTAATATCTGAAGCGGATTTTTTGTGTGCAAATAAGCTTAACTAGGAGCAAAGAGCCGCTTATGATGCAATATTGAATAAAGTTTTTCCATAATATTGAAGATATG